CACACACACACACACACACACACACACACACACACACACACAGTCATGTTTCCATCCTGGAATCTGCATACCTCAACTTTCAAGCATGTCTTCATACAGCAATGTAATGATTTAAATTACGGGGACTTGCCTTTTGTCCCTAATGTCCCCACAACATGAGTAAAACAAGCACACACTCACACACATCTTTGTTCAACGTCTTTCTGAGAGCGTAGCCAGACTTTCATTACTTAACCATTAACGCTTGGTCAGTGGACCATGAAGGAGGATAAACCACACACACATGGACGCACGTACACACACACTCTCTGTATTGTACCTAAGTGAAGAGCAGAGAAGAGTTCGTCCGTTCTGAAGATTCTGACTGACTCACTGGCGTTTCTGTCCAGGTGGTACAACTCCAGATCAGAGCTGCAACACAACATCGACATACATGTTATCATAAAACAGGAATTATAGCATCGAAATATACTTAAAGTCCTTAAAGTCAACATCTCTTTAAGCAGAAAAAAATTATATGTATATTTAAGGCTACGTATAATTACATGAAAAACATGTTTGACTATTTTAACAGAGCAGACATACTGCCGAGTGATGATACCATACTAACATATTCTCAGTCTCGACCTGCCTTTGTACTTGCTGTACAAAAACTGGGCAGATATTTGATAATATAAGGACACAAGGTCATGACTAAATAAAGTTCAGTGCTTCTGTTTTTAGGCGCTGCAGTTTTGTTATCAGGAGATAAAAGTTCTTACTCACCCAAACATGCAGTCTCCAGTAAACGGATCACAGTCTCCTGCACATTCACATGGACGGCATCCGTATTCGTGAAAGCCCCAGTATCCCACCATGCACCTGTCGCAGTGGGCTCCACCGATGCCTGGTTTGCAGATGCAGTTCCCGTTTGCGGGGTCACAGAGCGAGCCGTCTGCCAAGTGGAAGGGCATTGAGCCCATGGGGTGACAATTACATGCTGGGGAAGAAAAAGGGTGAAATTAAATTAGATTGGAAGGTTTTTAATGGTAGATGATACCAAAACATCATCCTTGCACTATCTGATAGGCGAGGTACATACTGGACATGTTGTCAGTTCATTATTGAATTCATAGTCATAAATTCTTATGTGCGTGGTATGTTGTTGATCTGAATAATTCAGAAACTGATTTTCCCACACAACCATAACTAGGGTTTATAGAAAATTGTTATTTTTCTTTTTTATATCCATCATTAGTGATTCTCTGGGGTAAATATTTTTTGTTGGAGAATGGCCAGACCGCTTTGACCTGATAGAACTCAAATGATCACTTATTAGAGCCAAAAGATGCAGAAGAGCATCTCAAACCTTGAAGCAAATGAGCTACAGCAGCAGAAAACCACATTAAGAGCCACTTTATGAGGAATGTTTGCAGAATCTTATTGAATCAATGCTATGAAGAATTGAGGCAATTCTTAAGGCAAAAAGAGTGTCAAATCTGGTACCAGGTTTAGCTCAGTGTGTTGAGCAGGTGACCACATGCCATACGGCTGAGAGTGGCCGGCCTGGGTTCGAGTCGACCCGCTGTCCCTTACGGCATGTCTTCCCCCCTCTCTCTGCCCCTGCTTTCCTGTCCTGTTTTCCCCTTGTCATTCAAATAAAGCTGAAAAAGGCCCCCCAAAAAATCTGGTACCAACAAGGTGTACCTAATGAAATACCTGTTCAGAAATACTATACAAAAGACTAAAGAAAAGCAGTGAGCAGTGAGTCCAAAGGTCTGACAGTCTGCTGATTAGCAAATTACTATTTATCACCTGCACTTAAGTATTTCATCAATTGCTCTATTGTCTGCTTTTGTGGCAGCCACTTAAAACACAAAGGCGTCTCTGTTTTTTTAATCACATGAAGACAGATGTTTAAACTTCTTTATTTGTGATTAGGTGATCCTAAGATCCTAAGCTTTTTCCCAAAGTCAATCAATATGCTTTTAAGGAATAAAAGCTCAAATTAATCCTCCTCACATGGATAGATGAACAAATGCATACAGTAAAACTCTCAGCCCTCTAATTGTGTACCGATAGGGTGTTTTTCCAACAACCTCCAAAAACAATGAACACACCTTATTAAACACCCACCCATGTTTCCATTGGACTTCTGAGAAAACTGCTGTCTGCTGGGACCCGGAGTTGTCAGGCCTCCCCCATAAATAAACCGCAGAGAGAAACAAAGAAGGGGTGTTGTTTGGAGTCATTTGTCTTGTGTTTAATGATGCTTGAAGCCTTACTGCCAGTAAATGACTACTTACTGTACACCCAGAAGCTCCCTCAAGCTCCTTTTTCAAATCAATCATGGTGGAGAAAAAAGAAAAAACAACAACTTTAAGCCAGAGGTCTGAATCAGGCAGTTTTCTCAAACCGAACTGAATGTGTTAAATTCACATCGACGACTATAAACAAATGAGATGGCGTGCTTTTAGAAACAAAGATTAGAGTTCATTCCTGACCTTAAAGCATGTTTGCCTTCAAACTGTTATCAGAGCACTTCACGGACTTTATTTGATAAATTGTTCCGAAATAGAAATACAACAGTCAACATGAAAAGTTTTTAAAGCTTATCAGTTTATATAGACGTTTTCCCCACCTCAGCAGTGAAATGCACATGAATGCTTGAAGTTTGTAGATAAACAGAAGCACCACTGAGTTTTTATAATTAAACTGCAAAAGCTCTGAGTGCTGGTATAGCTCGTGTGGGTTAAGGAGGCAACACATATGCTTTGCTATTGCAGAGTCTTGGGTTTGAATCTAATGTTGCCCTTTTGCTGCTACTCTCTCTCTCTCGGCTTTCTGTGCTATCAGAAGGTTAAAAAGCCTAAAAATGCAAAAAACAACAACAAAAAAACAAACAAACAAAAACAAACTGTATGCTAGTTAAAGTTTGAGATAAAAAGACTGAATTTGTTTTTTTCTGCTCATCTGGGGCAAGGTCTCAGGGGCAGCAGCCTAAGCAGAGAAACCTAAACCTTCCTCTCCCTAGGTCTTAGGCTGGCTAAGACCTGAGGAGAGGAAGGTTTGGAAGATGTAATCTCCTAAGTTTGTCCTGGGTCTGGTTTGGGGCCTCCTCCCGTGAGGAAATGCCAAGACCATCTCACCCAGGAGCCTCCCAGAAGGAATCCTAGTCAGCTGCCTCCATTCGATGTGGAGTAGTACCAGCTGTATGCCTAGCCCCTCCTGAATAATTTAATTCTTTATCCTACCACTAAATGTAACTGAGCCTCCAAAAGCTCCACAAATGATTTTTTTAAGCTCCTAGCAAACACTCAAACAAAAACAAACCACAACAGTCACATAACTTACTTGGCAGAAACAATAAAGATGATCAATATCTATAACGTAAGCCATGTCCCAGCACACAGTTCTTTTCAGTTAGCTGCTCCCATTAACTGATCCATGTTGGGAGCTAATGCCAGTTAAGATTAGTCACAAGAAATCTATTTTGTCTAAATAGTTTTATAAAAAGGAACACATCATGCCATGATCTAAAGAAACACCTGACAAACAAAGTCACAGACATCTATCAGTCTGGAAAGGGTTACAAAGCCATTTCTAAAGGTTCAGGCCTTCCAAGGAACCATGGTGAGAGCCATTATACACAAATACAAACAACATGAAACAGTGGTGAAGCGTCCCAGGAGTGACCGGCCAACCAGAAGTACTCCAAAAGTACAGTCCAGGAAGTCATAAAAGACCCCAGAAAAACACTAAGGAACCACAGGCTTCACATGTCTCAGTTAATGTCAGAGTTCCGAATCCTGAATCCGACTGAGATCCTGTGGTATGCTCTTAAAAAGGCAGCTCATGCTTGAAAACCTTCCAATGTGGCTGAATTACAACAATTCTGCAAAAGATGAGTGGGCAAAAATTTCTCCACGGCGCTGTAAAATACTCATTGCCAGTTACTGCAAATGCTTGTTTGCTGTTGTTGCTGCTAATAGGTGGACCAACCAGTTATTCGGTTTAGGGGGCAATCACTTTTTCGCATAGGGCCATGTAGGTTCCCCCTACCCTTAATAATAAACACCTTCATTTGAAAATGCATTTTGTGTTTACTTGTGTTATTTTTGTCTAATATTTAAATTTGTTTGATGATCTGAAACATTTAAGTGTGACTTGAATGCTAAAAAATAGAAATGAGGAAGTGGGCAAACACTTTTTCCACACTGCTGTAAATACAATAACAGGCGACGGGAGTTACATGACCCAAACTGTGCCTTTGACCCAAGAGAATGATGTCAACTGTCAAACCAAACAGTTTATCAGGCAACTCACCCACACAAAGATAAGATTGAACTCCATCAGAAGACCTAGCAATACAGTACCAATAAAATCATAAAGATATCACATTTATATCCTTTATAGATGTGGGCATGTAAAAAAGGCCATATCAGCACTCTTTCTTAGGAAGCATCCTGCACAGGTAAATAATTAATAGAGATCACAGTGCCACCTCAGCGCCATTTAAAACCAAGACATGTGTGACGGTGTGTTTGGCAAGCGTGTGAATTTTCATATTTGTGTGAAAATTTATGACCACTTGAAGGATTCACAATGCAACAACTCCTGTAAGCAAATATGTGCGTCTAAGAAACCTGTCAGCTGCAAGAGCTCTGACAATGAAGACTTTATGAGCGTGTGCTGAGACATGATACGACACCTGCCTGAACAACCACGAGAAAACCCACTACAGACATAAATCCCCACACACAAACACACACTGTAACTCTCCCTCCTGATAAACTGCTTTGGTGTGTACCAGCTTGCGTGAAGCTTGACAAGAGTGTTTTCTTTCGCGGGCCCCTCAGAGGCTGGAATGAAAAAAATGTTCCTCACAACGGAGGGAAATTCCTCCATTGTCAGCGAGCTGCTGCAGTGGGATTACACAACCTGAACCTTCATTTTAGGGGTTCTCCAAGCATGTTGTTGCTCCTTTTTTTCTAATCAATCAGCCTTCATTAGTTATTATCCCAGAGGTGAGTTTTTGGGTGTAAAGCTCCGAACCTAATGACTGAAATCACACCTGCTGTAAAGAAGGCATGCATCTGTTTCTGTGACCTTATCAGAGATGCAGAGATGTGAGAAAATGTCAGAAAATCTGGAAGGACAATAAATGAGGTTGCATAAGTCCATACAGTATGCAATTCATCAACTACTCACTGTTCCTGAACTGCTAGACAGAACAGCAAGAGACTTAGAACAACATTTATGCTAATGTTGCCATATGAGGCTAGAAGAGTTGACAAGCTCAAAAGGTTATGGAACATCACAGGTGGCATGGTCTCCATATTTCAGAAACTGCTTGTCTACTGGAATTTCCCCAAACATCCATCTCTTGGGCAACAGTAACTCAAATAGCCACCTGCTACAAGCAAGGGATGCAGAAGAGCATCTCAGCCCTTAAAGCTGATGAGCTACATCAGCAGAAGACCACACCAGCTGCCAGTCCTGTAAGTTAAAAACAGGAAACTCAGGCTACAATCTGCATAGCCTTACTAAAACTGGACAATGGTCATATAATGAAATATATGGTGATATAATGGTGTTTGTTTAAACACCGCCTGAGCATTGTCGCTGACCATGTCCATCTCTTTATGACCACAGTGTTCCCATCTTTTGATGGCTGCTTCCAGCAGGATAACACAGGACAATGAGTTCACTGTACTCATATGGCCTCCACAGTCACCAGATCGCAGTCCAATAGCGCTCATTTAGGATGTAGTGGAACAGGTGATTTGCATCGTGGATGTCAACATGGACCAAAATCTCTAAGGAATGTTTTCAGTAACTTGTTGAATCTGTGCCACAAAGAGTTAAGGCAGTTCACAGGGCAAAAAGGGGTTCAACTTGGTAGCAGGAAGTTGTACGTAACAAACTGGCCAATCAGTGTCTATAAAAACCAGACAAAGCCACTGTGACATCGCCCACTGGTTAGTGAATTCATACACAAGTGAAGCTTTGAGATGGGTTTCCACCATTGCTATTTTAGTGTACTGAAACCAGACATGACAAGTGGATCTGAAACCCAGAACACTGCACACTCATACAGTAACAATTTATCAACCATAAGGTGATGGAGAAGCGCACCCTGTTTTATCCTCCTGTTTGTCTCCAATTAGGAATATGTGTTTAATAAATGACTATAAATCCTGATGAATTAATCATCTGGAGCCCTAGTTTAAAGTTAATTTTAACTGTGTTTACTAAGGTCACAGATTCAGGGAGCTGAAGGGTTGCTTTTGACTTTTCTTGCAACCAGAGGAGTCCCCCCCTGCTGGCTGCTAGTTTCATGGCAGGACTTTCTTCTAGAATAACGCTGTTACGTTAACTAACAGCGACTCTAACTACAAAGAAGTTATTTTTTAAACTTCATTGTTAATTTTCATTCTATTTTTTCTGCTCATGAACTTCTGTTTTGAAGTGTTGAGTTTGGCATTTTGCCTCAGCTATCTTAGTTTGGATAAGCGAGGTGTGGATCCTCCTGAACAACCTAGGACTCTGCACACTCATATAGTAATAACCCTTCTGTCACAAGGTTTCTCCAAATAATACTGTCGATTATCATTTATTTTACTCTAAATAGGATCATAATTTCCAAAACGCATAAGGCTGTGTAGTAAAAATGACTGGAAACTACTCAATTATATTATAAACTAAACTAATGTGTTAATGAGGTCATAAATCAGGGAAGAAATTGGATCATTTTGGATTTGTATGACCAAAATACTCCCCACCCCTCTGGTGGCCATTCACATACAGTTTTTCTTGTTTTTCAGATATGATTTATTCATGCCCAGACACAGATTTGCTGCTGAGTATTTTACAGGTTCTTATAAATGTCTGCTTGTATTTATCTTGAAATGAATCTCTTGAATTATATAATGCACGATGAAATCAAACCCTGAAAGACGGCAAATTGGGCTGATAGCCAACATGTTCTTCCCTCTGTGTTTTTGAACGGTCTGCTGCTACTTGATAGTCTTTAGGTTTTAGTGAGATTTGCTTGCGCACACACGCGCGCGCACACACACACACACACACACACACACACTTTCCTTGGTGTTCATTTCCAGCATACCTGTGGGAATGAGTTCACAAATCTGACAGATAATCAGAGGGAGACTGTAGCCACCGGTCTGTGTTTATGGATGACTATCTCATGTTTACTTAAGACTCACCTCATCACAACCCCCCCCCCACACACACACACACACACACACACAGTGACGGAGAAAGGACCGTCACACATTCACAGCTAACAACCAAGCTCTGAGTCACATCTTAAAAATGGCAGAACAAACCGAGATGGACAAGCAGGAGTTTTATGATGAGCTTTGAGTCAAGACGCAAGTATGCCTCCATCTGATGATTAACTATGGAGTAACTGGATGGAGAATGGGGCATTTGCTGCCTCTGACACACACACACACACACACACAAACACACACACACACACTGAGTGAGGACTGAGTGTTATGCAGCATGTTCCGGCTTGTGATCTCCGTCCTCTGCATTCCTGAGAAAAATCAAAGGGCTGTGCCAGTGTGGTGCATTTGTCACCACTGGTCTAATGCTGTGACTCCATACTGAATGTCGTGTGCCAGTGAAATTCCTATTCTATTCCTATTATTATATCATTCCAAATAGATAGCAGTTTTATAAAATATACTGTAGAAAGTAAATGGACAGTCAAGAACACGGCTGAGCTTTTAGCTGCTCTTTCACATTTAAAAAATACTTCAGTAGAAGCAACTTGATTACTCGTTTCATCCAAGGTATGGATGAAACGTTAGATGGGCTACTGCAGCAGAAGATCACACCAGGTGCCGCTCCCATTAACTAAGGCTAAAATTCACACCCGCTCTGACAAGACTCCGTTTCTGCTACAAGATTCAGATTGAAGGGTCAGAATTTGCCATGATTTTCACGTTAATATGGACTTCTGACCTCTATGAAAGCTCCGAGAAATGTTTCCAGCACCTTGGTGGATCTGTGACATGAAGATCTAAGACAGCTCTGAAGGACAAAGGGTCCAACCTGGCACCAGCAAAGTGTTACCAATGAGGGTATATAGACTTACATCAAGGGTGTCTAACATAGATTAATTCATGGGGCACATACAGTTCATTTTGTGGGCTTGTTCGTTTTAAATTTACATCTGAAACATTTGACGATCTCTCTGAGCAAACATATCAGTTACAAACACTAAACAAGTTGATGCCACCAACTGTGCTCCTAGAAGTCTGCCTCCCACTGTAGTTTAGTAAAGTGTGTGTGCAGCTTACGTTTGCAGGTGTCGGGGGCGGCGTGTGGTCGGTTGGGATCTCTGTAAAAGCCTGGCTTGCATTTCTCACACTGTCGCCCTTCGGTGTTGTGCAGACAATCGCAGACGCCTCCGCTTCGCTGGCCAGACTCTCGCCACGCTATCCAATCAAAGCGGCAGTTCTGAGCGTGTCCGTTACACTTGCACTCTGGTGTGAGAAGAAGAAGATAGCCATCAAAAATGAAAATATCAGACTGGCAACTGGCTATATGTACAAATATTTCAGAGAGCATTTGGAGGCTGTTAGTTCTGATATTTTAGTAAAGTATGAAGATTTTAAATAACCTCCTGGATTTGTTCTAAAGGGCAAATATGGCCGATTATGAGTAAAGACTGCTTTTAAACCATGTATTCTCTTCCCAGATACCTCAAGATGTTAACCTGAACTCAATGGCCCTGTTCACCTTTCTGACCTGATTTGTAACTTCAGGTTTGAACACTGTGGACTCTTCCAGGGAAAACTGGTGTTCGCACTCGTGGCCATAGCCAGAGGCCAAGTTGGGTCCATTTGCTCAGTTGTGAGAACGTGCAGGGAGGGTTTGAAACATAACAGGGGTGTCGGGACTGATGCATGGCTGCTCAAGGAGACAACCTTGAAGAGCCAGTTTTATATCAAATAAGGTTTTTTTTTTATATGGGAAAAGAACTTTTTGATTATTTATTATCAGCTGCATTTAACTTTGCTTTCACACATCACCAACAGGGTAAAACCAGCCTGTCTCACGATGGTCTAAACCCAGCTCACGTTCCCTATCACTGGGTGAACAACCCAGCACTTCACAATGATAGTAAGAGCCGACACCAAAGGATCAAAACGTTTTTCTACGGTAGCTTTTCTGACATGCCCTGCCTTGAAGCACCATGAGGTCCTGCTTTCAGCATCTGTATTCATACTTCAAATCAAGATGAGGGGAGCTCTTGCTTTTATGCTCAGGTTTCTGTCCTCTCTGAGCTCATTTTAGGACACCTGCATTACACTTTGACAGGTGTAATGCCCCCCAACACCGAGATGGCGATTGTGGAAACACATCTCGAGGCTTTAAAACAGGAGTTCGCTAATGACACACAATACTTGTGGGTAACCTGCGGCAAGCCCAGCTGTAACTGACCAACAAGCACCAAAGGTAGCCAGGATTAGACTCAAATGTTTGCCATTTGTGCCATCTAGGTGCTTGGATCTAGATTTAAGATTTACAGGCTAAGTTTTAATATAAGAGTCCTGTGGTGGAAAAAGGTGTAAACAATTTTGTTTGACTCACTCCGACATTCATGCGGCGCTCCCGTCAGTCCATCGGCAGGCTGCCACGGTCTGTCGTTGTACAGAGGAGCGCAGCGCTCGCAGTGATCACCTGCAGTGTTGTGTCTGCACACACACTTCCCATGGACCTGAGAGAGAGAGCTCATTAGCAACAAGCAGCATGATAGACGGAGGTAAAGATGGACGAATAGCAGGAACAAAGAGGTCAGTGTGATGGAAAGGACAAGCTTCTTCACTCTCTCTTAACCACTTCCTTTTTTAATCGCTCCTATTCTCTTGGTCCAAAAATCAGTGAATGGAGATTTATTGTTTGGCTTCATTGCATAGAAACGGGAATGGGCCTCAGCTCTGAAAAGCCTGCGTGTGTTTATGAGTATGTGTGTACGAGTGCAAGTATGCAGCGCTGAGAGCACAATAACAATCTCCTTGTCATTCCTGTGAGCTGGAATGCCATGCATGCTGGATAATGATTGAATGGGGGGGCAAAGCATCTGAGGAAGCTCTTTATTTGTTTGTGTTACACCGTGCAACCGCAATGTAGGACACAATTACACAGCAACTGCAGGGGTACACTCGCAATAATCAACGTGCACACAGGCGTGCAAAATAATTGCAAACGCACACCGATTCTTTGCACTCATTTCCCACGGTGTCGTAATGCGTCATACCTTGTCCCCGGTTCAAAAATCCTATAGGAGCACGGCCACATGCAGCATGCCCTCTGCCTGAACTGACCCCAGATCAGCCCCGCAATGTCGAGGTGAACACGCACACACATGACTGGTTTCACACACCGGTTTTAATCACACTAATAGGAGGAGAAATTGCACAAATGAGAGGTCCGGGTAATCAGGAGACATGATTACAGCAAAGAGTAGTGATTAATATAAAGTGTGCAAAGAAAGAAGGGGAAAGAGGGGAAGCGGAAAAGACCAGGAAAAAACTCTGGCTTAAGTCCAGATGGCTGGTATTTCAACCCACATGTTTACCATACGGCGATATGCCATAGTTAACACACACCCAATGATGCAAACTTACACAAAGACTATTACCGGTTCCCAAAAGTTCCCAAAGAAGTACAAATATTTTAGTATTTGCACGGCAGTTATAAGTAAATACCACAACTGTAGGTGTGCTTGATTTATCTCCGTAACAGCTCCACAAAAGCTTAGAGACAGATGAAAGCATTACAGGCTCATTAACTATTACCACTTTATAAAATGCCTTTTCTGAGTTCAGGTTTTACATAGCTGAGGTTTTCTCGTGTTAAATGTAACATAACAAAAAAAGGCCTATTACAGCTCTACCAGGGCCTGATGTGACACTGGACTGGTGGGCGTGTCTTGCACCTTAGGACTGTTGATTATACTCAAAACCTTAGGCTGCAGTCTCACAGGCCTAGAGACAGGAAGTCGTCATCTTCTCTCTCACCGGAGCCTTTTGGTAATGGAGCAGTGAGTCACCCAGGCAGTAAATGGTGAGTGTAGCTGCCAGCAACCGCTCGCCAACCGGTCAGGAATACACATTCTTCCCCAGGGACCGGAGGTCACCAGCTGGTCTCTGGCTTGTGTTAATGAGGCCTGAGGTAGAGCGCTTGGCAGCTGACTCCAATCAGCAATTAGCTGAGGAGCGCTGAGGCTCCAGGAAAGGACAGTGCCTTTGCAGGATTGTCACTGTGTGGTTTGTGATGGCATGCTGCTGCTCAGCATAGGCGACAGTGTTTTGATAGTTTAACCTTTAAACGTATTCTTTTGTTTAGCGATAGTAGCCGGTCTTTCTCCAAGTTTAATTAATGATAAAACCTTTGTTTGCTCTTCAGTTTCCCCCCTTCTTAACCCTAACCCTTACTTTACTTCTACAGAAACTGGAGGATGCTTGTAAGGCAAACAGGCAGTTATTTGGACTGTTATTTTTAAGCACCTATCTAAATAAATGATGTCACTGGGACATAGAGAATGCATAAAAATGCATAAATAAAAGGTTTAAAAGGCTTTTTTCTCCCTTCTTCTACTGCACATGTACAAAGTTACACAACATTTTGGCTTCATTTATAGCTTAATCCTGAGCCAGCATTGAGCAGTGTCTCTGGGTCCTCTCAGAAGAGGAAATTAAAAAAATATGAATGTTGAACTTTTAACCAAATAGTTATTATGTAATCTCACTGTTAATGCCATATATTTGTGCACATCTGTAATGCTGATGGACATTGGCACAAAAGAAACCGGATAAATGCTGCAATGAGTGACACCCCTCTTGTATAAGGCCCATTGGAGTTAGTGTGAAAGACAAACGAGGCAAAGATTTAAGTGAGAGAAATGAAAACAGTTGGATGGACTGGAGGATTGCTCATTAGTTAAAGTGAGTGTAACCCCTGTAGTACTATTTGTTTAAGTAGGGGCAAGCACATCTGACTTTGTATTGGTATTTATTTCTAATATTACTTAAACAAAAATGGCGAGTTTACATTATAAGCTATAACCGAGCAAAGTGATCGAACATCAGACTGAATTTAAGGACATATACAGTTGTCGTCTCCATCGGCTCTTACACCCTGCTTTCAGCTTCTCCTTCCTTGACGCGTCTTCTCTGTTTTCACTCTTTCCAGTTTGATAGTTGTCCCCTCGCTTACTCCCTCGTCGTCTCTCACATTTTCTCTGGCTAATTTTGAATCCTCCTGTTTTTCCTCACAGTTACCGTCAGTTACAGGTGTATCTGACAGCTCAGGTGAAAGCAGGATTCATACAGACGAGGGCTCGTTTAATTTAAATTATTCCACTGTGTATTATTGTTGTCGGGACATCATTCACTCCTTCACAGCCTCACTGGTTGCACTCGTCTCTGAGCTGCTCTCGGTAGGTAATTACTGAAATTAACTGTTATTAAATCACCTGGAGAACTTTGCACTCCTTTTTTTTCATGTTCCCATGGCTCACTAAAAGCCTGGCCATTATTTATTTTATTATTATTATTTTTTTCATTAACATTTAGGAATCACTGTACAGTACCATCAACTTCAACAATTTGTTACTACACGTACTTTTCTTTTTTGTTTTGTTTTTTTTAACAACAAAAATATCCATACAAAAGGGAAAAAACAAAAAACCCACAGAACAACAACAACAAAACATGTGGAAAGTGAGATTTTATTACCCTTAATATAACTAATATATCCTCCAGTCTTCTAGTAGTTAACAAAGTCAAAATCAAAATCTGGCGTGCGTTTTACTTTGCACTCCTAGCAGTTTTTTTAACACCAAAACAGGGTTTTGTGCCAGCATAGATCTCATAGTATGATATCTTTGGCCACTTATTTTGTGTGCATAAAATAGCGTTAAAATGACAGAAAATTTCAACAACATAAGCTATATATTAGGGGTGCAACAATACTCGTATCGATATTGAAC